CCAGCGGGGAGACAGCTCACGCCCATCCGCAGCGAGGCCTGTGTGCCCGAAACATTCTGCTCCGCGTTGCCCGTCCCGCCGGGATGCGTGCCCAGCCGTGCCATGCCGTTGTCACCGAGCAAGCAATAAACATCAAAGCTGATCCTCGCCTGGCCTTGCTGGAGAGTTTGTTCCCCATCTGGGGCTGAGAAGGTGCATTGGGTGACCAGAGCTGGAGGTCAGGAGGTAGAGGGAGGACAGGAAACGTTTGCAATCGTGGCTTGCAATTAAAGCACGAAGGCAGGAACTGCTCGACGCGGTTTGACGGGGCCCAGTTGAGCTCTGCGGCTCGGCTGGGCCGGGCTGTCCCCCTGCTCCCGTGGTGGAGAACCATTTCAGAAGCAGGGGTTGATGCTGGGAGACCCAGGACAGACCTCCTTGGGTGCGTGGGTAGCACAACGCGTGTGCGAGCCCTGTTGAAACCCCTATCAGTGTCTGGCGTGCTGCCTCTCCAAACAGGCGTGCCCAGCAGTGCTCAATAATTAACAACTTTTCACCTACTCCCTGGATTTTTAGCAGCACTCTGGGTCATTAAGCCGTCAGCTTGGCCGCTTCCCAGATTTTCTTTGTTTTCATCTAAACTCTTCGCTTTCTTTCCGTGATTCTCTCGTCTGACCGGTGTGACATACCCACGAGATCAGCCTCACTGCAACTTGGAGTTACGAGCTCCACAGGGGATTTAGTTTCGGATTTTATTTAAAGTTATAAACATTGCAGTTGAGTCAGTGAGATGGGTAGTGTTTTGAGAAGCACAACAGAGGCAGAAATCCTTTTGTGGGGCAGGACTTGGGCTCCTTTATCAACTTAAGCACCTTTTGTTCATCACACCCTCGGTTTTTACACAATGCTTTTGAAGCTGAGATGGGGATTAAGCCCTTTAAACATCTCCAAAAATCGCATGACACCAGGTTTTCCAGCCTGGGACCCAAATTCTAGCTGGTCCCATTGCTCTGGGGAGTGTGGTTGGAGTTTGGTGGGGTGTGTGGAGCAGAGAGCCCAAGCTCAGGGATGCAGTTGTGGGTTGGGAGCTGTAGCGCAGTGGGCTTCTGTACCACCCTCGGCATGGAGACCAAAACCTGGCTCCCTCGTTTGGCAGAGGCCCTGGTCTTCCAGGAGAAGTGGGGGGTTAGGAAGCCACTGCGGCATTTCATCTGGATGTGCCACAGGCAGGGATTGCACCCGAGCAAGGCTGTTTAGCCAATAAAGCCAGAGCGAGTCTGTCTTTAGTCTTTTCTTCCCATGGCAGGGGGG